GAGCTTCCCTGAGATGGGACTGGTTAGGAGACAGGGTTCGTCGCTCTTCTGCCACCGCCATGTCCGTGCGTACTACGCGAATAACCGCGCGGAAAGTCCACCCTTGTGACAGTGGCATACCTCGGCAAACCTCACTCATGAGGGCCCTCACTCACCCTCACTCACCCTCATCCTCACAGGTGAGGTGAGGGTGAGTGAGTTTCTGAACCAGGAAAATTCATGAGTGTGAGGGTGAGTGAGGGCCGTGAGGGCTGTGAGGGCGGTGAGGGCCATGAGGGCGGTGAGGGCCGTGAGGGCGGTGAGGGCGGTGAGGGCCGTGAGGGCCGTGAGGGCCGTGAGGGCGGTGAGGGCGGTGAGTGGCGTGAGGGCTATGAGTGCGTGAGGGCCGTGAGGGCGGTGAGGGTGGTGAGGGCGGTGAGGGCGGTGAGGGCCGTGAGGGCGGTGAGGGCAATGAGGGCCATGAGGGCGGTGAGTGCGTGAGGCCCCCTTCAGATCGAGCATCTTTCTCAGCAATTTTGGTGTTAATGGCGGGTTGTTCTCCAGCTTTCCCTAGATCGACATGAAGTGCTGAGATCGGGTCCGGCTCGAAATAAGCAAGCAACTCGGAGCAATTCGGATACGTTTGAAGCGGCTGCATCCAATCAGGGACGCAAAAGTTTCACGTGATACCTCGTGCCGGTGATTATGACACCGAAAGACTTGGTTCTGGTTTGAAATCGATCGTTTTTTGGAAATAAACTGTTTCAGAAAGGTGCATTAGCATTCTTAACGAGATTTAAATGCATAAAAACACGTTTATAACGCGTAATTGTGTCTAAATAGTGCAAGAAAAATAAAATTTTATGATGACGATGGCAAATTGCAGCAATTGGTTGCTGCGTGCGATCGCGGGCGGCCCGTGTTGCTGGTGTTGCGACGTAAAGTTTCTGGGCGAAATCGCCCCATCTGAAGCTGGCCTGAGTGGCGTGAGGGCCATGAGTGCGTGAAGGGCGTGAGGAGTGTGAGGGCCGCAAGGGCGGTGAGGGGCGTGAGGGCGGTGAGTGGCATGAGGGCGGTGAGTGGCGTGAGGGCCGTGAGGGCGGCGAGGGCGGTGAGTGGCGTGAGGGCTATGAGTGCGTGAGGGCCGTGAGGGCCGTGAGGGCGGTGAGGGCTGTGAGGGCCGTGAGTGGCGTGAGGGCGGTGAGTGAGTGAGGGGCGTGAGGGCCGTGAGGGCGGTGAGGGGCGTGAGGGCCGTGAGGGCGGTGAGTGCGTGAGGGCCGTGAGGTTCAGTGAGGGTGAGCGAAGGGCTGAAGGTGAGTGTGAGTGTGAGGGTGAGGGTGAGTGAGGGGCTGAAGGTGAGTGTAGCTGTGAGGGTGAGGGTGAGTGAGGGGCTTAGGTGAGTGTGGCTGTGAGGGGGAGGGTGAGTGAGGGCGACCTAAAATGCCGACCTCTGCAGTGGTACCCTCTGCTGCGTTTTATTTGTTTGTCAAGAATTATTAAGCAAGTATACGGCAATAGAGAAAGCGGAGATGTGTGCCCGGCAGCCCTCGATTTGATGTCGAATTCGCGGAAGCTTCCTGGGCCTCAACATTCACATACACTTCTCCCAAGATTTGTTGACTGAATTAGACAACCACCAAGCATTAGCATCATGCGATCGCATTTATACAGCAGAAAAAAAATGCATGATGCACGAAATATATATGAAAAACAACTTGTAAAAAAAGAAAAGAGCTAAATTCACAACAGACTGTCCGATGCTTTGTATCTCAAATAAGCGCTCGTGAAGATAATATGTACCTATGAAAAGAAAATTGAACAAAAAATGTTTTCGTTTAAAAACTATGTGACGTTAGATAGTACTTAGCAACTGTATAACAAGTTCCATGCTGAAACAAGTTGCAACGTGAAAGTCACATGATGAATTGCATGACCAGTTATTATCACAAGCCCTTTTCTCATAAGTGACTGTATCGCGGAGTAGATTAAAAAAAAGAAAGAAAACAATCTTGGGCAGCGGAGTCGGTCCGAGAAATGTGGTCAGTTCAACGATATAAAAAGAAACAAAAACTAGAACACTAATTTGAGGCGGTTAACACAAAAGAGCCAGTGGAAGCCCGCTATTTGGCTACATGATCGCGGCTTTTTTCCAGTACACTGCACAATTCTAATAACGTAATAGCTTCCTTCTAGAACAGTCGACCTAAAATTTCTACCAAGTTTCGTTTCCTTTTTTCGTGTCTTTTAGTGCGCCGAACTGCCTTCTCACCTTCAAAGAGCTTCGACAGAGCGTCGGGTTCAGGCGAGCTTTTTTCACACCCGAACCCAAACGTACATTGTTTTCATATGCGCCGTCCGCAACACGTTCAGAACTAAAAAAGAAAAAAACAAAACAAAAAAAAAACAGTGTGTTTGCTCAAACTAGCCTGTTTGCATAGCGGGAACCCATCTCTTCGAAATCTCGGTGTCGAAGTGAAAAGAGCAGTAAGCGGGAAGAACAACTGCGACGTGCGCTGTTCGTGCAAGCCGACGGCTACACATGAGTACGGCATCGTGCAACAGCATGAGTCAGTTAATTTCGGTGCCACGAGGATTCCGCACATCCGCGAACTACAAACAGGAGAACATCAAACCGTGAAAGCTACACTAATACGGTCAGGGCAAATGAGTTGTACGGCCAGGGGGACATAATCAGATTTTTTTAATTTCAAATTGTTTCAATTAGAAACGTGCTGAGCCTCATCAAAACCACTAAGTGAGTAAACCTGTGAAACGCGTGGGAAGCGTGATGTTGCGCCTAACAGTTAGCACTCCTCCAATGGGCTCAAGGCTGCGGGTGCGAAAAGGCGCTCGCGCGGTTTTTCCGCCTCGGAAACAGCCGCGTTTTCGCACTCGCACCCAAAACCTTTCTCAATGTTAGTGTATTAGTGGTTTTTGATGACGCTCATAAAGTTTGTGATTGTAACCATACGTTTAACTTTACTAATTAAAAAGTTAATCAACAAGTTTTACTTAATTAACTGTCTCATAATGACGATTGGTGATATACAACTGTCTCATCATGACGATTTATCGATATATAACTGGCTCATCATGACAATATATTATGTCCTCCTGGCCGTATAACTGACCTTCAGAGACCGCTAGGATTATCCAGCTTTCACGGCTTTAAAAAAAAAAAATTGTAAAGCGTAATAAGCACCTTTTAAAATGCCAACCATTCCCGATTTATGGAGGCATTTCTAAATATATTAACTCTAGGATTGAATCTTCGAATATTTGTTTACGTTCCATGTTTGTTCATAGAACTCTTGGCCTCATATGCGTGATATAAGTATTCATACTCTACAAACACCACGTCCTATAAAAAAAGAAAGAAAGAAAAATATTTTATGTGGCGCGGCGGTTTTTTTTTTAACACTATCAGTGCATTGTCGTTTTTAAAGACACCTTTATTTTTATTTTCATTACTTTTCACTAGAAGCCGAACTCGTGCTTTCTTTTTAATTGAGCGTTCTCTTTTGACTTAACGTCTCCAGTGTACCAAATGTAATATATTTGGTTTATTTGATCGTGCATTAATTGTACTGGTGACTGTGATCTGTTTTGTCAACTGTAGCAAGGAAAGGCGGGATTCTTGTAAGAAATGTACAGGGTATTGTGTTCAGATTTGGAGATCTACATCCTCTAATGTGGGAACAATGACCAGCATCACGGAGTTAATGTCCTTTTAGATAATTTTTCGGCCAACAAAGAAGAAAAATAAAGTTTCACATTTTACGCCAAATCGTAATCTTCACTGCCCTGCTTAACAAGAAGAGCAGCAAGTCACGAAATAATTACAACACTCCTTCTTGTTCGCAACGTTTTGTTTCGCACGCGGAACAAAATAAAGTGTGAAAGTGTGTTGCATGCGCCCCCAAGACAAAACAACAAAGAGTTACTACAAGATAGGAGATGCCTGCTTCGTGTCACGACCGACTCCGTTCCATGGTTAGCTATACATGTATAATTTCGTTACAAGTCCGAGCGCATGCAAGGGCTAGGACACACACAAACACGAACGAATATATTATAGCGCAGGGTGACAGCGCATTCACTTGAGTAATCTCGTCAATGATAGCACACCTAAAGTCACTGGATATCCACAAAGTTTAAGCACACCCACAGAACGGCTACAAACGTCGTGACTTTATGCTTTCAGCTACACGATTGGCGCTATCTGCTCGTAGCACCGGCTGCGCTCGGGTCTTGGGGTGAAACGAAATACGGCAGGCAGCCCACAACATGAGAAATTCACTCGTTTTACAGAACTCGGTTAAAGAACCATTGAAAATCAGGTGGGAACTAGCACAAGGCTCAACACGGCCGCAGTTTCGGGCCCTACTGAGTGGGCCGATCTTTCACCGTACGGGTGACATCTGCTGCCGTAAGCCCCTCAACTCTACAGGAAGACAGTCAATGGAACCCGCCGGGGGTTCCCAAAAGGGCACGGCTTCTTGAGAATAGCGAGAAGCGGGTCAAAGAGGGTGGGATGGGGAAGAGTAAGCAAGAAAAGAAAAATATATATACGGGCAAAGAAAGCCGAATACTACGTCCGCACGGAGGAGCCCCATTCACCAAGGCAACATACTTCGCCGTTTCCGGTTCCTGCATCTGGTGTGCGTCCGTGCGCGTATGTTGATGCAAAAAAAAAAAAAGACAATTATTTAAGACGTAAGGAGAGCAATGTGGGCCACTTTAGAATAGATGCGTCGAGTTTATTGCACTAAGTACGTCGTCCACTTGAATTAGACAATTCTAATCATTGCCTTCTGCAAGCTGACATTCTTGTTAGGGAACACGTTCTTGGCATGCGCATTATCTCTCCTCTCCAAAATATCAGAGACATCGCTCATGCGACCCTACTAGCCCAGTGACTCAGCATCTCTCGCCCTGTCGATACGTGCTCGAAATGCGTATACTAAAGGGTCGATGTAAGTGACGAGGTAATAAAACTGTGTCGTAAGCGAGGAAACACATTCTGCATATAACATTTATTCATAAAGAAGGACATCCAGACTTGCTCTTGCATTCTTACAAAAACCAGCAAAAAAAGCAATGAGAAAAATAAAAAGAAAATCATTATCACACTATCTTACAATGTACCTTAGGTAGTAAAAAAAAATCCGTTCACGTACGCGTAAAACGACAAGAAAAAAAAAGATGAATAATAGTGGCAGTCTCTTCCTGGTACAGTTTAATGATACGCCAAAGAAAGAAAAAAAAAAAAAGGGACAACGAAACAAGACATCACGTTCGTACATTCCTCTCTACAGTAGTCTACTGCAGGTTCACAGCACCGCAACCATCTTGCATTGCATTGCGCCCTAAGCAAACACAAGTACAAAAATATTCCGACCTCTCTCCTGGAAACGAGCAACATGACAAAATGAAGCAATCATACGCGACCGCAGACATAACACATGAGAGGATGGCGTGCGACATGGTCTCTGTGCAACGTTAAATAAGAGACGAGTCGCCACGAAATACGCTGGAAGACGTTGGATTTTTGTTGCTTTTGCCAAAGGCACAGAGTAAAGGTAGACTTCTAAAAAAATATATTGCCATTCTTGGTACCTTGACATCGGGCAGAGTATAGGCGAAGCGTTGACTTGACCAAAATGTTTTTGCTCGAAAGAAAAATAAAACAAAAACAACACACTGCTTGCGTAACTACGTATAGTCACATTGCATGGTTTCTTTTCTTTTCATAAATACCCTTTGTTCTTCAGGCTTTGCATAGACAATGAAACGTGTAAGAGATTCACAAAAATAGTATCAGCGCTACATCGGCTGGTCCCGCGCTGGATAAGTCAGATCTCTTCATAAAATTGGCACTTCTATTCGCTATGCTAAATGCAAAACGCTGCACGAGAAACAACATAACCTAAACTCTGAGACAAAGAAAATAACGGACAAGACTCAGGGTTTAGATTGTTTGCCAACCAGCTCGCCTGCAAACTTTCGCTCCTTACGAAAAACAAGACTGCTGCGTGTTTTTTTACCAGCTGTTTCTCTTCTTATTTCTAGCAAGTTAGAACAACGAAGACAAAATTGGACCCTTTCATTTTTACTCTTTCATGGAATGACGTGACGGAAAACTTTAAAAGCCCTAGAAGTAGAACAAAGAAAAAAGACCCGATGCGGATTTGTTGCCTACGAGTAAAAAGGACAACGTCATGCATGCAACCTCAAAAACTACCTTCATAAATCGAAGGGGGCAGTGCGTGTTACGCGTTGTCAAGACTCTTGTGGTCGAGGCGACGGACGTACTCGTTGATGAGATCTCTGAAGTTGATCGGGTCAATGTTCTTGCAGAGAAGGTCGAGCACAAGCCAGTCTCCCAGCTTGCTGCGGTCGCACACCCTCTCGACGTAGTCCTTGTTGGCCAGCTTAGCTCGGTTTCGAAGAACAATGAACCTCACCCTGGGGATGAAGATGATCACCGCCCGGTATATGAGGACAACACCGGACATGATCGCCAGAATGATGAACCAGAACCAGAGGAAGACGTAGATCTTCTCGTTGATGATGTTGATGGGCAGGATGCACATGGCATCGTGCTTTTGCACGTCTCCGGAAGAACCATACATGTGGAAGGTACACTTTGTTAGCCTCGGAAAGACCTTGATCATGGGGTCGTACCGTACGGACCAGTCCCACTCGGTGAACTGCAGCACCTTGGAACCGTAGCTGGAGAATTCGCCGCCCAAGAACATATCCATGAGGAACATCTGGCCGACAACATTGACGAAGTTCATGACCTCCGCCGCCACGTAGCCGTAGAAAAACAGGTTGTGGTTGTTGAGGTTGATCGACAGGTACTCGACCAATAGCTTTTTACTATTCTCTTTCGCCTCTTCGGGAAGAATCGGGTTGTTCAGGCCCAAGATAAGGTTCTTGACGCGTCCTCCTTCGATGGCCTTCCAGAAGTAGCGCGGTACGTAGAAGAGGACCGCTTGTAGAAATAAAACGAAGCACACCCACTGGTAGTAGGCATGGTATACACGTTTTTCGCCCGGCGTGTACTTGTCCACACCGGGGTAGGGCACCTGGACACCGACCTTTTTGTGCCAGGCGTCTGTGAGTGAGAAGGTCGTGTGGATCCAGCAGAACGTATCCAGTAGGTTCGGTGGCACGGCGTCCTTGGAGATGCAGTCGATGGGATCACCGATGTACTGCCTGCCGGTGACCAGGATGCTGAAGGCTATCAGGATGCACACCGTCGCCTTGTAGTGCAGTCGGAACACATTGTTGTCGATGATAGTAAAGTCGGTCTTGAAGAAGCCCTTCAAGTTCCCGAAGAGCTGATCCATGTTGGCGTTCGGTCCGGCGAGTGCGCCTCGGCTCTTTCAGCCACTGACTGACACTTGTGGCTCCTCCGAGCCAGCACAGGCACACTGTTCCGTTCGAGCGGCGAGCGCAGAAACTTGTTTCTCCCTCACCCACGTGGCAACTTTGAGCCAATGACGTTGCAGGAAGGAGGCGGTGGGGAGACTCTTTATCCTGCATTGGGGCCCCAGCCGCGTAGTCTTTCACTATTTGGCTCGTCGACGTTTCTGAGAGAGGAAAGGGCGAGGGGAGACTGGCTGGCTGGCGTAGCTGGCATTACGGCTGAAGGCATGGATGCAGCAACCCCTCTGCGAAGCGCGAAAGCCCTTCCAAGCCAGCTTTTCTGGGTACAGAACAGTCAAAAAGATTTCCGTAGAACCGGATTTACTCTTCCAACAAAGGAGGGGGAGATTTTTTGCCTACAAGCCCCACCATTTATTTATTTATTTATTTATTTATTTTGACGAAAGGGTTTGCCTAGATCGGGGGCGCGGGATTGTTCAGTATGCATGAGGTTTCGCTGAGTGATTGTGCGATGGTCATCGCTGGAAAGTAATCGGCACGCCCATGAGTCATGCGAAATGAGGGCCGTGCGCGCCGTGACCTTGCTTCTTGGCTTTATCGTCTGTGCTGATGGCCGTTGTCATCCCGGGAGCTGTATTGTCGTCTCGTGATGTCCGAAGGAAGCTTCGACGATCGTTCTCTTGTCTTCGGACACCGTCTCGTTTCTTTCCTCGAGTTCCCTGCTGGCATCATCTCTGCAGCAGTGGTTTCCTTCTTCTAAAATTAGCCCATGGCCGATATTGACAAAGAAAGAACATAGCCGAGACCCGCAGCGTTCTTTTTTTTTCTTGTTTTTTTTTTTTTCTTTTAGAAGTTGCTTCGGACGCAGTTTCCGCGTTGTCCAGATCAGATAATTTTAGGGGGCCGTTTGCTTGCTTCGAACACACTAGATTAGCGCAAATCAAAAACCAATGTGTTTTTTTTTTTTTTTGGTTTTTTTTTATGCAGCCGGTTGCTTGAAGAAGGCGTAAATGACTCGCTTCTTCTTGTTTTTGCTTTTTTTCAAAGCTACTACGACGCGCCCTTTTCGGTTTGCCCCAACCCTAACAAAAGAACACTTTGTACTGCTCCATGTTTTTTTTTGTTTTTTTTTTGTGAAACTTTTTATTTACGGTCACTTGTGACGCTTTCTGGGGCGTCTAACTTTGGAAGGCGTCGAGAATACACACCCGTGCATGAACGAACGCACCTTGATATTGAGGTCTCAGTAAATGATTACGAAATTCTTAACAGTGACTTTTTTTCTACACTATATCGACCTAACAGTGGAAATACTTCGCAATAACAAGCAAAATTTATCGTTTTAGAGATATATACCGAGTGCACGTTTTTAGATTATAGTTAGATACCATACAACCTAAGAAAGAGAGTGCGAGGCGGAAAAAGGCGCACGAGAAAAGCCTTTGTGGAAAGAAGGTCGCCCATCCCTACTCTTTCCCAATTTCCGCCGTTTAATAAAATATTTCTCTCTCTCTCTGTCTCCCCCGCTCGCACTGTCTTTCTTAGGTTACACCTGACGGTTTTGTATTTTTTTTTTAGAGAAACATGGTTAAAATTGTTTTTCTTTTAACTGAAAATTTATTTTATTTCGGATGACGTTATTGACTCTCGTGGACGTAAGGGCTAAAGTGCGACGTCACAATGAGTAAACTAACTACCTAACATTGACAAAGAGAATTTACAAAAAAAAATATTTATTTCAGCTGGAACATTTCAGTGAAGAGATTTGTAATTTGTCGTCAAGACATACTTTATATAGTGTTTGATATTAGGAAACGACATTCTGCTTCGGACTCTTAGTAGCCAGTTAAGAATGCCATGGGCCATCAAGAATGCCATGCGCCCAAAGCCTCACGTCTGAGTCCGCAGTGGAAGGGGGCCGAGAGTGTCGAGCGACCTCGCGGACGGGAGACGTGCCCGGACGCGTATTCGGAAAAACCTGTGGAGTAAGTCAAGGGGTCAATATCGGCACTCTGATTAGCGCGTTATCATGAACGTCACATCTCCTGGCTTATGGGGAGAGATAGAGAGGGGGAGGGCGAGGCTTATGGCGAATTCCACTGATTGTTTAGGGCGCGCCGGGTTCGACTTTTCTAGAGCGCGCCTATTTCACCGGGCGTAAGGGATCGAGATGGACGTCTTCCACTCGTTATTTTGGATCAGCTCCCCCTCCAGATCTCGATTCGGACCCGAGAAGAGTCGCCCTGTCGAGTTCAGCACACGGCGGGCACACGTTACTCCCTTTCTCGCCGGGTATCTCGCCTCAGAAGAATTCGTAATGGCCGCTCGCGACGTGTCGCCAGCTTTACCGGCCTGCTTGATGACAGTTCGTCGTCAAGTTGCTCGAGCAGCAGCGGCTCGAGTAGCAGCGACAGCGAGGATTGTTTGCATGTCCCGTATGAATTCGACTGCCTGTTCGGACCTCCACAGAAGAGGCCGGAAATCGAGACGTACTTGGACACCGTTCACGAGTATTCCGATCAAGATGCAAGTGGGCCACGCTGATGCAGGTGACTTATCGATACGCATCTTTCATATCATGATTAACTTCGCTCGTGCGTTGAACACGCGTTGTCAGCGCCACGATTGCGAAAACATGTGCCGCGAGATCCGGGACCGCGGGAAGGGGATTCTCGGGATGGTGAATGACGGGAAGGCATTCACCGATCTCGGACGAGTGGTCATGTTGCACTGTCGATCCGGAGCCAGAGCGAATTCGTTCGGACCGCGTGCTCCATCTCGGAGCTGGTCTACTGATCCCGACGCGCTCCAAAACGACCAGGAGCCGGACTCTTTTAGCACGGGCACGGTTATTCAGGTAACCACTACGCTGGACGATCCAGGTGTTGCGGGAAGCGACCGTCGCTCATGCAGGAGCAGCGGCCGCGTGCGACCTTGGTCAGCGTTGGATCCCCGTACCGAGGTTCCACATTTCGTGCCGGAAACGACGAAGTTCCTCAGTGATAGTGCAAACAAAAGAAAAAAAAAATTTTTTTTTCTTGAAGTACATATATATAAAAAAAAAGTTTTGCCAGTTCTAACGATGAGCTACAAACAATTAGTTGTGAGGGGCCTGTTATAATTAATAGCTAGAGAGATTCATAGTGCATTTTAGGCATTTGCTCTCTCATTACGACCTCATAGTGTGGCATCGATGAGCGCTGTGACAAACAGTGCTGTAAAATGAAACATTTAACGCAAGATTCCTATTTCTTAGAATACACGCAGTGAAGCCTTGTTTATCCACAAAACTGAAGGCACGAAGTAGAACACGTGACGAAGAAGAAACTGACACCACGGCGCCTTCTTCATTCGAAATCTTTATCTATGGGCGCCATAGGTTCTAGACGGCCCGCAGGTTTGTCAGCTCCTTGCGCACCTCGTGCGTTTGTTGAGCCTCGAGATGCACCAACGTGCTTTTTATTTTACCCCGATCTCGACACCAATGACGGCGTGCGCTATTCTGCCTCGAAACCGCGTGTTTCCTACGCGTTATCTACGCTGTCCTTTTTATGCTGTGCCTCCCCTCGAGCTTCGATGCGTCGAAGGCGCATTTCGGAACCAACACCTATTTTTCCTGACTGTTAGCTCCGTGGAGATCACGCTTGATTTGATAATAATACACACATATTTTGTTTTTCTTGATTAACAGCTTTCGTCTTCTACTGTATAAAGATAAAGGGAACCAACTCCATTTATCCTTCCGAGTCAAAACTTTGGAAACTGCTCACTCACTTTTCAACTCGATGTTCTGGAAACCGCGTCGAATTATCGTGAGCATCTAACTTTTTATTGTGTTGCGTGTTATTTGACCTTACGGATCACGACGACGCAGCGTGTACGCTTAGAAATAGTTTGTCTCTCTGACGTTCGTCCAATCAACCTTCACAATTCGCTCAGGGTATATCGGCTGACGGCCTCTTTTAAGCTCTGTCAGTTTTCATGCTTCACTGCGGTCTAGACGTTGCAAGTTTCTTGTCAATTTGCTTGTTGATTTTTTTATCACACTTCATTACGAGCAAGATGGACTGAATTTTTTAGGGTTAACGTGTCAAACCAATGAAGAGAATCTGTCAAGCCCCAGCCATGACTGTGGGAATTTCCACCACGCGGGGGTCTAAAAAGCGACTGAAAGTTTAGTGTAACGATAATGACTCCCTGGCTCGTACACTCATCACTCTAGAAAAAAAGGGGTATCACCTTACACTCTTTTGTCCCATAAAATGCACCTCAAACTTTTATTTCGGCGTACAGCGTACTGTAGTCATACAGACGGCCCCAAATTTTACGAGGGGCTTGATAACGGTGCGATAGAACTTAAGTAGCCAAACTACGTATCAAAGACCACAGAAAAATGAAACACTGCATGAGGTTTTGCAGTAGGGCCAAGAAAACCCCGATTTTTTTTTTTTGTCTGTAACACGTACATGAACTATTTTAATAGGTTGTACCACACGGCTATCAAGCCTCTCATGAAAGTTAGTACCGTCCGATCGACGTCAGTGCGCTGTACGTCGAACAAGTTTTGGGGAGTATTATATAGGACAAAGGGTGTAATAATACACCTCTTTTTTTAGAGTGATGAACCAAGGAGTAGCAGGCGTTCTGCAGGCTGCAGCTGAGCTTTTCTGGTAATATTTTTTGTAATATATCAATAATATATTCCCAATGAAAATAACCATCAAATCGAATTTCATTAAACGATCTTTTGCATAAAAAAAAACAACCCGAGGCGGCTCAAGCGAAATTGAGTAACCTACGTTTCATGATGTTCATCGCTCGCAATGTTTGTCAGATTTAACTATATAAAGATATAGGGCTAGATGGCATAGAGTGTGTTATTTGATTAACTTTAACTAAACTTCCTTGGTGTTTCTCCTTGCATATATGTGCTTTTCCTTAAAAACTTGGTCATTCTACCTTGGTTGCAAATCAGTGATTCCACTGATTCGAGACTCCGGGGTACTTCAATATTTTGTTTTTTAATGGAGAAAGAGGCGTTCGATTAACGTTCAAGAAAGAAGGAGTTCGACGGAAATGGTATTCGGATCAAACGAAAATTCCCAAGATTGATTTTTTTAAACGAGCTTGTATTTTTGACATTGACAGATGTTTATCGATGTCTTTCGATTAAAACCGTAAAGTCCACTGCCTATATATAACCCGCGTGGTCCCCAAAATGGGCACTATGGGCCCCGAGTGCGGCCCCGGCTGGGCCCCGTGCATGTTTCCTCGCTGGAACTCTGCGAGACTGAACCGTCGTC